GTTGATCGGGCCGGATAACGATCGATCGGCGATCGATCGGCCAGTGTGTATGGAGTTATTATCTTATCTTATCGTATAAGCGCCCAAAAATCCACCCAAATGCGGCAATTGTCATTACGCAGAGAAACCAAAGCGCAGTAGACCATACGATTACGTAACTGATTGTTATCAAGTCAGCGCTAACTTCGGCAACTCGGCAAACCGACGGATAACATTCGGAACTGATACTATCACATGATGTAAGCGATCCCACACCTACTATGTCACGCTGCTGCGTCCCATCTAAAACTAGCGCTCGTCCGTCCGATATTCGCGGATAATCACGCTTTATCACGCTTTTGTCACGTTTTGGCTGGGGTCACATCCCTGTCACTGTGACGAGGCCCATGCGCAAAAACCAACTCCCTCCTTCGGGGGAGTCGGAATAACAAAACCCTGATAATGCATGCCTAACTCGATTCCTTCAGTTACGAGGCAGGACATCAATTGTAATGGCGCCACACTGAGGGGATTGGCTAGTAACTCTGTGATTCAGCTGGACAACGGATGTACCCCGTCGCGTTCAGCTGGCTTCCACGTGAGGCCAAAATGGCAGTGTACGGCGATTGCCCGGCGACCTGGTCTTCACCTCTCTTGATAATTCACTGCCTTCTCGCTAAAACATCTCAGGATTTCTACTATCAACTTATGCTGCTATGCGATGACCGTCACCTGGACCGCGATGGCAGTTGTTCGTGTGACTTGACGATGTTCCCGTCAACAGCTTCGCGCTGTAACGCTGTTTCGACCCGGGTACGCACTTCCTCGTACACCTTGAACTTGGCCGAGGCGTCGCTCCAAAGCCTCCCCAAGCACCGTACACCTAGCGTTCCCCCCGACTATCCCCCTTCCCAACATGGACAGAGCTTCAGTCCGGTCAGGCAGTCCCTGTTCGCAGACGACGGACAGCTCGGATTGGGTCTTGCCTGCGAGTACCTGGTGTGAAGGCGTGAGGGAGGACCTTGTAAGTAACCTAAACCCGCGCGAACGGACACGGCAAGAGTTGCTCTGGGAGATCGTAGCGAGCGAAGAACGGTATGTCTGCTTCAGCGTTCTTCTCTTTGCAAGCCGAATTCACAATCTGATGTGCTGCCATGATGCGACAGATATGTGCTCGAGCTTGAAAAGCTGAAAGATTCCTTTATAGACCCGCTCCTGCATCCCCACTTCGCCTCCTCTCCGCTTTCTCCTCTCGGTTTGCCCGGCGCTCAGCAGACCGAACACGGCGACTACATCGTTATGCCCCGATTCCACCCCACCCAAGCGCGCGTCGATTCTCCCCGTGATTCGATTGACCACATTCCCATCGTTTCGCGCTGCATCTCGTCTCGATGGTCTGGTACTTCCGGCCAGCGAGACGACACCGACGGCAGGGCCCTCCGTAACAGCAACAGTCACCGGACGCTGGCCAAAGTCGATGGCGAGAGCCTCGGTTCAGACGTAGAAGACGAGAGCGCGGACCGTATGGGCAAGCCGTACTCCTACATCGTCGGTCGCATTCGGAGCGCGGCAAGCACACCATCTGGTGTCGGGTCCGGGGCAGGGGCACAAATCGGCAAACTCAATCATCCACGCTCGTCGCATGGGACAACCGCAACTCGGTCGTCGACCTCAACCCGCGGCAGCAGGGACGCGTCGCCCTTTCCCTTGCGCTCGCATCACTCGCTGCCCCCACCAGCCTGCGCGTACGACCTGCGCGGGTCGACGCAATCACTCGGCCGGCGGTCGTTTGTCGACGAGCCCGCCTCGCCGCCCCCACCGCCACTAGAGCGCAACATATCCGCGAGCACGACGAATACGTCGGCGTCGAAGGTGTTTCGCAAGTTCAAGCGAAGCAACGCGAGGGGACTGCCTGAGGTGGCGGACTTGCCGCCCGGGCAGCTGCCGGAAGACCTGCGGAAGTGCCTTGAGGTGATCGAGGCTGCGATTTATGATGGACACGAGATTTTGAGCAAGAGCTTGAGGGCGCGGTATGAAGATCAATATCCGCTCGTGCGATCGTTGGCGGACGTGTTCGATGCACATGTGAGTATGCGTCGACTCTGAGTCCCAATCGCAAACGCTAGGATGCTCATACCTGATTTTTTGCGGTAGTTGCATGTATTGCACAGGTACGCGACGTATGTTTTGCACCTGGAGCGCGCCCTCGAACAGGTCGACGACGCGCTTTTCACTGCGGCCGCCTCCAAAAAGTCTCATAAGCAGAACACGGATGAGTGGCTGCGCATGTGCGGCCTGCTGCAGGAGCTTGAGCTCACCGCGGCAGCTAAGGGAGAGACCGGGCTCGCGATTTCCCTGTCCAAGCCGTTCCAGCGGCTGTTCGATTACCCTCACCTATTCCAGAATCTGCTCTTCCATACGGACCCGTCCACGTTCGAGTACGAGAGAACGCTGCAAATGGTGGCCGAAGTGGAGGCGATCGTGCGGAGCATAGAGGACGAGAAGGTCCAGAAGGAGGAGCAGGACAAGACGCACGACGTGTGGGCGCGGATCGAGGGAGTCGAAAAGGTGAAGGAGCTCGCGCTGCCGAAGCCGAGCCGATTGCTTGTCGAGGAGCGCCAGATCTTGGGCACCGGGGCGGCCCCTACTTTCTCGTCGTGGCCGGTCTCGAACGGGAAGATCAAGGGAAAGAAGTCGTTTAAGAATGTCCTGCAAGGCGGTGGATTCAGCCCGGTGAGGGGAAATAAGGACGTGTGGTTGGTGGTGTTCAACGACGTGGTACTGAGGTGTCAAAGGACAGGCACAACGAGCTTGCCGATCACTGCGACGGTGAATCCAAGGACGAATTCGGTTGCCGAGCTGCGTGGCAAGACAAAGTATGCGACTACGGGGAGAAGGCGTTTGCAAGCGAAGCCGAGAAACCTCTACAGTTTTTTGAATATAGAAACGTGGTCAATCGAAGACGTAGTCCAGCCACAAGGCGTCGTCGCGATGGAAGAGTAAGTCACCGCTTATTGCACGGGGCTGGCATGGTATTGACAAGCATGGGCAGCTTCGCCCGCTTTTCAAATAGCGTACTGCATACTCCCAGAGATCCCTTCTTGAGGACGTTGGCGATGAATGGTATGGGCGAACGAAGTCCTTATGAATATGCGCTTGATATTCATGACGCCGACGACGACGAGACCATCGGTGAGCCGCTCACAACGTCGAGGACGACCGCTGTGCATTGCAACTGAACCCCAACTCAGGTATCACAAGCGAGGAATCTTGGACATTGGAGAAGCACTTCCCTCCGCATAGGGGCGTAGCATATGTTGTTGAGACGCAACCAAGCTCAGAGGACAAAGTAATAAACAACTCATCCGAAGCAGACACACCCAAGATGACTCTAACCATCTCGCGTCGAGATGCTCTGTGCCTCATTGACCACGTACAGAACGTGGGTGACAATTCTCAACTCGTTAATGAAGATGCCGGTCTGACACTGTGCAGGAACTCGCAACTTCGGTTGCTGTAAACGGCAAAGACTTGGTTTTGCGCAAGACCCTTATCAAGCTCCTCGTCCGGTTGACGCACAAGTTCAACTGGATTCCGTCCAGTCTTCTGGTCCATGATGTGAACGATGTGTCCCCAGAGCCCGTCTACGCAGGAGGTTTCGCAGACATTTTCAAAGCCACGCATCGAGGGAAGGAGGTAGCGCTGAAACGCTTCAGAGAGTTTCTCCCGGGACATGACTCTACCGCGTTGGACAAGGTTAGCATCTATCCCGATATCCTTTCCGACGCGTGTCTGACTCTTTTCACACTCAGCGTTTCCATCGCGAGATTTTCGTATGGAAAGCGTTGAGTCATCAACATGTGCTTCCTTTCCTTGGCGTCGATAAGGATACGTTCCCAACTCGCCTCTGCATGGTCTCCCCGTGGATGCAAAACTCCAACCTTTTAAGTTATATTGGCACAAAACGATGTTCCTCGAGAAAGATAAACGAGCTGGTCAGCAGCCTCATTCTTTTCCGTGGCCCTGAATATCCATCTAAGGTTCCTACAGCTATTTCATGCTACTCGGGGTTTGGAATACCTCCATTCTCAAAGTGTCGTCCACGGTGACTTGCGATGCGTCAGTACACGTCGTTTGCCAGTCCTGACTACGACTTGATCTACATTGCACCAGGTGAACATCCTCGTCAATGACCGTGACGAAGCTGTGTTGGCGGACTTCGGCCTAGCCAGTCTGTCTGCTGGTATGGCGAACACCATCAGCATCGCTGACGGCTCAGCCAGGTGGAACGCACCTGAGCTCTTGATAGGTGACCGCGTCGTTCGCTCGCTTGAGAGCGACGTGTACTCCTTCGGATGTGTATGTCTTGAGGTGCGTAACAAGCTCGCTCCACCGATAGCCGCTCTTTACTAACGTACGACCAGGCATACACAGGACAAGCGCCCTTTGCGGAAGTTGCAAACGGATTCGCGGTCGTGACTCGTGTGGTGGCTGGCGACAGGCCCAGCCGCCCCTTTCGGCCGTCGCCGCATGGCAACCTCATCTCTGACGGTCTATGGACCCTGATAACCATGTGCTGGGATAGCTGCCCTCGAGCAAGACCGAGCGCTCAGGAGCTGTCCTCCCGGCTCGGTCAGATCTGCTCGCACGGGTGCTCGCGTTCAGTCACGACGTTTTGAAGGCTTGGGGCGCCTCATCCGAGTCCGCACAACTCTCTTCCTGAATTGAACTCATTTTGTCGTCAACCACGTAGTGCTTGCATGGTTTCGACATCCTCCATCACTGACACTCGGGCTGGAGGCATCGTTGTGCAATTCGCAAGACTATCGATATGGCATTGATCGTAAACGTATATACCGTCACGTCCTCGCCCGCGGTACATATGCATTTGCTTTCATATGATTGTAGATGTGGGGCCTGCTTTGACCTAAAACGGTCGTCAACCAAGTACATTATCTAGCATAATATTCTGTTACTTGGCATTATCGCTGGGATGCAGTCATTCAGTGGTACACCCATCTCTGTAATCTTGACTCTCGAAACTGAAAATAGGTGGGCTATGCTATCCATCGCGAGGGACGGATCAGAATTTCGGACCTCATCAGCGCACGAAGCAACCGCTCCAAGCTATACCCGTACCTCAGTCACCCACTTAGGCTAACTTAGCCTCTTAGAGGTATGGGTTAAGACAGTTCGGACTGCATCAATGTCCGTCTCCGTACCCCTAGGGTGACGGCGATCCCACCATTCGTGGAAGCGGAAAACAATGCAGGTCTGCATTACTGGCGCGTGCGGCAATTAAAGTCGAGATCGATACTATCTTCCGTCCGCCATCTCTCTTAATAACATGGCACGTCTAATGCCTCAGAGGCCCAAACAACAATCTATCATCGACGACGGCAACCTCTCTCCCCGCGACCCGATCGTTCTTCATAATCTACCACGCCGAGTCAACGAACCCGCGTTTACAAGCTGGATTGGGCGATCTCACCTTCTGACCGAGGATATCGTCGTCTGAAAGCTGCTCCAGCCGGTGCACCTCGCGACGAATATACGCAACGATGGTCGCCATCAACTCGGGGTAGGACACATATTTGTCCGCCTCAAGTCGGATAATCCGAGAATGAGTGCGCAGGAAGAGGAGAGAGAGAGAGAGCCACAGACACACCTCGCTGGGGGTATAATCGCGGACACCACTTCCGTCGTCGCGCATTTCAGCGGCGTCCACGCCACCAGGCGCATTGTCGACCAGGCGCACGGCCGTCGTTGATCCGCCAACGAGGTTAATCGACCGCCTAAAATTTGCATCTGGAAACGTGCGCAACCGTTACAGGGCACTGCAGGAACTGAGAGCGGGTGAATGCCTTACCTGATGTTTTTGCGGATGGTGTCGACGTCAACGTAGTGCTAGCAACATTCAAGGGAGAGTTGCTCTGAGTCTGGTTCAAGCAGTATGAGCACAGAAACGTTACGTGCAACGCCGAGGACGTACATGTGTTCGTGTTGGCGCAGGTTCCTGCGAGGCACCTGTCGCGGTTGTCGGTAAAGCGATGCCTCGGGCACCACGAGCGCCAAGCAGGTTTCGCCACACCTATCAAAACCATGACGGTATGTTCAGGATGACAACAAGGACTGTAGTCACTGACCGCTCCTGCCATTTCCGCGTCGCCCTTGATCAGCGCTACATCAAAGGCCATACCCAAGCCAGCCCATTGTTCACGCAGGATCTTCATTTGTCGTGAAACAAGACTTTCCTAGGTAGGAGACGGTGATTACGACGAGTCATTGAGAGACGCGCCTTCGGAACATACAGGAGCGTCCTTCCTCTTCCGCCCATTTGTGTTTTCTGTTTGAAGCTTTCGCGGGTCGTGATAGAAACCTGTAGGGGCTATATTTAGCGTCGCTCAACCAGAAGAGCGCGATGTACCGCTTGCTCTCAATGGTACCCGCGAGGACGGTGAGTCGGTGCTCGTCGGGACCACCTCGGGAACTAAGCCATGACGTCGACATGAGCGTGAAGGTGACAAAGATGGGCGGGGTTAACGTACCTTCAGCTGACTGTTCCGGCTCATCTCCTTCGAAGGACTTCGGTTGTAGTACGGCTCGTATTCGGTCTTCGACGTCCAGAAAGAAGTGGTCGATCAAACCCTAGTCACGAAGTCAGTATCGCTCCACGAATGTCGACCAGCCGGATGACGTAAAAAGGTACCTGTATATGCGCCTCGGCTTGACTTTTAGGTAGCGCACGAAGACGTGTGGTCAAGAGCTGGGAATCGTGGTCGGTTCACAAGACAATAGCCTTCCGACAGGATTAGAGCTCACCCAAACGTGGAGATTGGTAATGGTAAACCATGATTGGAAGGTCGGAGGGAGATCGCATTCTGAGATGGTCAGGTTGAGTATATGCGCGACGAAAGCCAAGCACGAGAGTCACAAGTCTCACCTCGTCTCCAGAACTCCAGCTCATCCTCCGCTCGAGGCACGCATAAGGTCTCGTAAAGTGCGAGCGATCTCCGCGCCGCGACCTGCCGCGGGTTGCTGTACCCCAGAAGACGCGTGAAGCCGAGGAACACGGTCATCGCCCATGGATGCCGCCGCAAGAACGGCGTGAGCGGCGAGGCACCCGCCCGACCAGTAGGTTCTGCAGGCGGCACGGCGGGCGGGCTCGAAGGCTTTTCAGGAGGTTGCGTCGCGTAACGTCTTGCCGGAATCTTCAATACTGTGACCCGCCGTCCTGCACGAACAGTGCGCACGACGCGCGCCGGGGCAGACGAGCGAAGTAGGTGCTTCACAAGCATGGTAGACATCGCCATGAGTCGGGCGTCGTAGAGAACTGAGAAAAGTAGGGGCGACGAAGGGCCGAGTCCACCGCCGGGCGCTACCAACTCGATGCGAAGGCCAATGACGAGCGACGCGTTCCGTTTTTCGCGACTTCGTCGGCGCTCGTCTTCGGATCAGTCTTCGGGTTAGGGTCCGGACGTCTCTCTTTCCTTCTCTCAGTCGTACGTAGTCTGCAGTCAACTTTTTCGGTTGGCAACATTGGTAGTCCTGGTCAAGACTCGAAACAGCGCCGGGCCTACGGCTGGGCGATGGTATAATCAGCGCACTAGTAACGACGTTTTCTTATCACCATCTTGAGCCGGGACATATGAAACAATCTATCATTGTCTACGGCGTCGCAGCTTGCGACGAGAACTTGATGAGTTGGAACTGTCCGTTACGTACTGTTATCACACAGTTGAGAACATGCGGAGGCATACACGGAACGATACGACCACATCGGATGCTCTCTTGCCTGGGCGGGCCATCGGTCCATGTGCCCTGCCGATTCCTCGTGATGTAGCATGATGTGAGTGAGAGCGGAAACTATTTACATCCGCAGAAAAGCTACTGACGGTCGTGGTTCAGGGAGCAAACTTTCCTATACCATTCTCCTGTGGCCTTCTCTGGTATGCGGAGGAAGCTCCCATGCTCATTTTTTTTTTCGCAGCTTTGCACCGTCACAGGCGTACTGTTTACGCCGTCACCTCACTTTTCTGCGCCGACCGGCATCGTGATTCAACGGCAAATTGGTATTTAAAGGCAGTCCTTTGGACGATGCTATCCACGACCGAGACCCCAAGGATTACCCAACAAGATGCCTCATCGAAGCACCGCGACCAAGACCGTACCTCCCAGTACTACCAACGTCTTGTCCGTCACAGGTACCAACGACGTCAGTTGCTGCGTATCACCTCCCTACAACCTACTCTGACACGGTCAACTGCCCAGTATGTGGACCTTGACGAGGTCTGTGCGACGATCCGGGCCTTCCTTGCAAGGTGCCAGGTCCCATATCCCAAAGTAGACTACGACCAAGAATTCGATCGCCTCACCCGTGAAGATCTCGTCCGCCGCCGATGCCCCTTATCTGGCTCGCACAGCGTCGCGCCCTACGTTGAGGCATCCGTGTGGATAGCCAGCAAGGCGTATGGGCACATTCCGCTCGAGACGCAGATCTTCGTCTGTGTGTACACCGTGTTGCTGATCTACCTCGACGACACCTACTCGGACGATACGGCCGGACTTGATGATTTCAACACGCGCTTCGTTCTGGGTCAAGAACAACGCGATCCCACCCTCCGTTGCGTGGACGAGTTCATTCGCGAGATACCGCAGCGCTATCCGCCGGTTACTGCGAATATCATAGTCACCTCCACTTTAAATCTGATGACTGCGCTGCTACTTGAAAACAGAACCAAGGGCATGCCAGTCAGTCTCTTGAACAATTTCTCGTGTTGATTGTATCTAACGTTTTCTCCCTAGCTTCGCGCCGGCGCCGTTCGGTATCCGTATTTTGCACGAGTTATGTCAGGCGCATCGGAGGCTTACGCCCTCTTCGTATTCCCCTCGGACATGCTGGTCACCAACTTTGTCCAGGCAATTCCCGAAATCATGGTATATCTCAATTGCGGAAAGTGAGTCGCAGCAAGCCTCACACACGACGACGACGGCGATTAACGTATCGCTCATCCCCACAGCGATGTCTTCTCCTTCTTCAAGGAGGCGCTGGCCGGAGAGACAGTTAACCACGTTTCTGTCGCGGCCAGGCTCCATCGCATCTCGAAGAACGAGTCACTTCGCAGGATCGCGGACGAGACAGCCATATCGCATGAGCGGTCGCAACAGATATTGGCGCCCTTTCCTCCAGCACTGGAGGCCTATATGGCCTTCAGCCACGGATATGTGGCGTTCCATGCGGGATCGGAGCGCTACCGCTTGAGCGAGGCCGGTTTGTGATTTACCTCGTCCGTTTCAATATGTAGCAAGTACAGGAAGATATGTTTTGTATGTATCACATCGTGCATAGAACTAGTCAGCATCGACGGGGTTCCAGGTCACTGCTCCCTTGGAGCCCTGGTCAAGAGCATCCAATTTCTCCAAATCATCCTTGTCGATGTTGAAATCAAAGACCTCGGCGTTGCTGACCACGCGTGAGGGCTGCGAAGATTTTGGCAGGACGACGAGGCTGTTCTCGAGGATCAGGATACGACTGCGGTGTGTCGATTCGATTCGATTCGATTACTCACTTGTGCTGAAGCGACCACCGGATAAGGATTTGCGCCGGGTCCTTTTTGTACTGAATATACGACGTCAGCGCGCGAAGTGATACCACCGTGACTCTCGGCATACCTTCTTGGATAGCTCAACGAGGATCGGGTTATCCATGCGCTTAGCACGGACCAGGGGTGAATACGCCTGAACGACTATTCCATGTTTTTCGCAGTACTCCACGATCGGTTTTTGTTGGCAAAACGGATGGAGCTGTTCGTATCACGCATGAATCGCAGCGTGTGTGATGTCTTCAATGACACCTACCTCAACCTGGTTCACAGACGGTGCCTCAAGACCAGCGGCTTTGATCTCGTCTAGATGCTTGGGACCGCTATGGGCGCGTTCCGGTCAGCCCGCGAACGGGAACCACCAGCGATGGGCCTGCTCACTAGTTGGAGACGCCGACTGTCCGTATCTTGCCTTCTTTCTTCAGGTCGAGAAGCGCGCGATATGTCTCCAGCCGACGTTCCTTCCCGGACAATGGGCTATGGATCAAGTACAGGTCAATGTAGTCTGCGCAGATTCAGGGTCAGCTGTGTGCGGCGTGAGACAAATGTCATGAGTGGATCATACCGAATCTGAAGTTGGACAGGGAGCTCTGTACAGCCTTCTTCGTGCTCTCGTAACCATGCTCAGGGTCGTACACCTTAGTGGCTAGGGAGGACCTTTGTCAGAACGTGGACTACGTGATGGGACGGAACGACGTACTGACGAAGATCTCTTCCCTCGGAACGCCGCTTTGACGGACCGCCTGACCTACCTGCGCTTCGTTTCGGTACATCCGCGCTGAGTCTATGTGCCTATGATGCTCGCGAATCAGTACCAGAACTCCTGATCGGACAATCGCCACTGGCCTGTACCCACGCTCGAGGGCTGCTAAGCAAGCTGGTACGCAATCGTCGTTCTGGTATACACCAAGGCCCAGTATAGGCATCTCATACCCTGCGTCGCGTTCAGTAGAAACCAGAAATGAACGAAAAGCGGGGAAGCGGGGCTTGGTACGCACCGCTCGAGAGCTTCACAGTCGTCGTCAACGAGAAGGAGGCCATGATTTATTCAGAGTGAAGAATGCCGGCGTCAGTGCTTTGGTGTGGATGGGTGGCGACACGAAGATGTGTCATGGTGTTGTGCTGCTGCGGGGAGATAGCGCAAGATCTATTCTTGTTGTTTATCATGCGGTCGCCGGGGAGTGTTAAGGTTTGGCTCATGCACGATCCGGAGACATCACGTGATGGTTTTCACGGCCCAAAGAAGTGGGCTTGGGCAGCCGCGGCTCCAAAGGCGTAACCGGTCACGTGTCACGTCCACCACGAAGCGCACGACTCGCCTAGGTTTGGATCAAGCCCTCTTCTGACCGTGGGACGTGTTTTGTATCGGTGGGAATGTTGCCACGCGCGTCGCGTCCCTTTGTCAGAAGTAGTGCTGCCGCAGGGTGCGGTAAGGTGAGGTGAGGTACGTGTCCCACGCCCTAAGGTGAGGTGAGCTACACCTTGGCACGGCGTGAGCCAGCGTGAGCTGACAACTTTTTCGGTGGCGATGTCCATGGTTTGATATGATTGGATGTCCCTGTGAAACGAGACCATATGCGCCTTGCTCAGACAAGCACGAAAAGTCAAAAAGTTCAGCGCACATACATTGTATACCATCGGTTGTAGCTATTAAGAGCTTAAGAGCTGTAACTTATCCTTAGGTATTACCCAATAGCAAAAGATGACCCAGTAGAAAAGGGGAAAAAATGAATACGCCCCGACGTATTCGAACTTGCGGCGGATCCGGCAAAAGTTGTGCTGGGGGACGAGAATGATGCCGTTCGACTACAAGTACATGTATGTAACGTTGCGTTGACCTTATATAACCTTGTTAGGCAGAAAACATTGCCTCCTCCCGACCTAGCCCCGTCCCAGCCAGGAGGTCAGGCTGACCTCCGCCCGTCTCAGTTTTGGCTGTTTGGGGGGTCAGTGTATAGCCACAGATGTGCTGAGTCCAGTGGTACTTTCCGCACCCCGTGTTATATTGGTGGATGTTAGGGTTAGGGTTAGGATTAGGATTAGGATTAGGGTTAGGGTTAGTTAGGGCGCCCAAAAAACGCGAGGGAGCGAAGCGACCGAGCGTTTTTTGGCGCAGGGATGGTCGCAACAGAGAGAGGAGCGGGGGCGAAGACAGAACCGACAGTGGCTGAGGGGATCCCCAGCCAGCCCTGTTTCGCCTTTATAGGCTCATCAGGGTTCTGCCCGAGATGACCGAGCGACACCGTGCCGGCCGAGAGGCCGACGCGGCGACAACAAGAATATCAACGCCAAGACGACGGAACGGGGTTACGCACCTAATCGGGAACAAAGAATCCCGTACGGAGAGCCGCACGGGAGCCGAGACACGGCAGAACACCTACCGTAGGAAGAAACATCCCAACAGGGACAGCAGAACCCCGACGAGCCCGACCCGATCCGTTCCCCTCCGAGCCGAAGCTCGGCGTACTAAGAAAGGACAGGCCGGCCGAGATGCCGCCGTGCCGCTGCCAAGACATTCCCACTGCGGATTAGGGTTAGTTAGGGTTAGTTAGGGTTAGGGTTAGGGTTAGTTAGGGTTAGGGTTAGGGTTAGGGTTAGGGTTAGGGTTAGGGTTAGGGTTAGGGTTAGGGTTAGGGTTAGGGTTAGGGTTAGGGTTAGGGTTAGGGTTAGGGTTAGGGTTAGGGTTAGGGTTAGGGTTAGGGTTAGGG